AACATGCATACATGTATGTATTATGTTATTAAATGCATTAATAAAATTCCCTTCAAACACTTGATAATACACAGTTCATAAGAAATGATGTATTTATTATGATGGTATTTTATGACCCTGTTTTAAAATTGCAATATTGACAAAAGCCACAAAGGGAAAAAAAGAAACGTGTACATGTACATGGACATACATTCAGCAGTGAATATAAAAACATATGTACAGCATATCAACCTTATGCTACATGATTTTTTTAAAGATTCGCGAAAATTACTTTCGTGAAAATCAAATCAATACAGTACAAGATGGCAGACGGCATAAATTCGCGAAAATTAAATCTGCGAAATAAAAATCCACGAAATTCATAGCCCTCGAAAAAAAGGCGCCCTACGGTATCAACCTTATACTACATGACTCCAGCTACATGTACACATACTGTTGCTGTGAAAACAAGAAAATGAAGAAATTACACTCATGCACCTTCTTGTGAAACTTGCACAAGAAAAGAAAGAGTGTCTAAAGGTACCTATGGAATTATAATCTCCTGATAAGTTTCACTCATGGTAATCTAATACAAAAAGAAAGAAAGGGCCAGAAGCTAGTGATGGGAGAAAAAAGTGGGAGGAAGAAATAAAAAGGGGAAAATATAAGAATTGAAACATTATTTCTGAGGTTGTACAAAAATATACAAGTACCGGGGGTATATGTGATGAGGGACTACCATGAACTCTTACGTTGTATTTAATAATTTAATTTGGTTAATAAAAAAGAAATTGCATGATATAACTAAAGAAGATTACATGATTCATTAGAACTTAAATGATACAAAATGAAACATTTTATGTGCTGTACATGTGATCATCAATATGCTATTTATAAAATTATTGAAAACATAGCAATCTCATATGATGTGGAGTAGCTCTCTTTTACGCTTGCAGCATCAGAAATACATGTACACATATACTACATGTATGCTCAGATGTACAAGCACATGTACTTTATATATACCACAAAGTGTATGTAGGTGTGACTCTGAGATTTGCTTTACATGAATACCATGCATTGATGGGCCAACTGGTGATCATAAGCTTCCAAAAATTACTCGTGAAATAAGTTAAAGGTTGAAAATAGGACCGCAGCATAACAATGATACATACATTTCTATTGTTACAAGTATTATGCAAATGTACCCTGTATTGTAATTTAATGTATTAATGAAATTCCCTTCCATGCAGGTTCTATGCTACCACATATCAATTATTTATTGACCTCATTTTAAAGCTACATTTGCAAAAGTCACAAAGGAGATCTATAGTCAGTAGGGGAGAGAAAGAGAAAGAGAGGCTTATATAACTATAAGAAGCGATACATGTACATGTACATACGGTAGTAAACAAACAAAAACATACGTACATGTACAGCTTATCAACCTTATACTACATGAATCCATGTAGCATACATGTACACATAAAATCTACTGCTGCTGTGAAAACAAAAAAATGAAAGAATGATCAGTTGCTTAGCAATTTTTGATATTAGTAACGCGGTAGCGTTACTAAGTAGGATTCACCCCCAAACAAAATGGCTGCAACGACTTTTGCAGCCTTGCTATACCGGGAAAACGAGCTCCTATGCTTACCAGACTTTATAGAGGACCTTATCTTGACCAGAGGACTCCATTGGTACCCATAGCGTGGCTCTAGACCTTGTCTAAAAGAAAAGCCAAAAATCGGCGAACCGGCCGTTTTGTTCAGCCACTTTTTTTCATCTTCATCATCAAGAAAGTTAGTCCTGTCAATCCAGTTGTCGGTGTGTATCTCAGTATCAGTTGGTGCTACAAGGATAATTCTTACACCAATCTACTCCAATAGTCTATGCGCAGGTCCATGTCCCATCAAATCATTCTTCAAGTAAAGAAAAGGTGATACTCTGACCAGGGGCGTAGCTGAGGTAGGGCCTGAGGGGGCCTGGGCCCTACCATCAAAGTGGCCTTATAATTATATTCATAACCCAAAAGATTATATTCATTGTTCTTACAATAACAAAAGGGGATGGCTGATAACCACAGCTCTTTTAAAGCTATATACAATGATAATTTCACTCTAATTTTGCTCAGCTTGCAGGAAAATGCCTCCATTTTGTTATGTAAAAAAGAGTGTGACCAAAATCGCAGCGCGCTTCGCGCGCCATTTTCTTTCCTTGCCCTACCGTCACCCAAGGTCCAGCTACGCCCCTGACTCTGACTGCTGGATAGAGCCATCTTAGCTACATG